AAGAAAATGCAAAATCTTTATCACTTGTATCTTGTAAAGATTCTAAAACCATTACTTTAGCAGTCTAACACACAAAAGCTATACATCAATCATGCAGCTAGACGCTGCTTCAGTTTAAGTTCAATTAAGATTTTGGGTCAAACTTTAGTCCGACCTCGTACTCTAACCAGGACCGCTGCCAGCAACAGATGAGGTCAGACACATTCTAGCCATACCTTGAAAACCTCTAAGGAATTAAATTCCAAAAATTCTACGGGGAACCCATTCCCATGCTGCACTAAGTATTTCCTAACGTCCAGTCTGAAGCTCTCAAGTCACAACTTTTGACCCTTGTACCACATTGGACTGTCTAACCCTTCTTAGGGAATTTGGCTCCACCACCTCTTAAAAGTCCTTAAAGTAACTGGAGGCTGTTACTAGCTCACCCCTTAGCTAACGCACATTAACCCGATGACGCTGCTGTGTGACTGTACGTATGGGCTTCTCGTACCGCGCAGCCCGCTTTCGACTTACCCCCGAATAGTACTGTTAGTTTCGGGATCGGCAGGGTCCAAGGTCTCCTTTAAGAAGTTTATATAATGTATCCAAAGATCAACACTAAGAGGAATTGCCTGAAGCCCTCTGCGATAAACCTATGAAGAGAACATGAACTGTACTTCAAATACTTAATGGCGTCCTAATAGAGAGGCAACACTGTGTTATCCGGTGAACCTTAGAAATACTAAGTACTGGAATTTTGTTTAAATAATCTACCATTACCATTTGGGTGGAGGTTGGATAGAACATGGCAATGTTCTGATCTCCACGTGCAGAGTCTTGATCTTCAAAGCGCAGCGGTCCCTGCATTCTGACCAGGTTGTGTGGGCAGGCTTTGGGGTACAGACCATAGGGCACAGACCCATTAGAGCATCATTGACAGCGTCTGACCAAAAATGCAATAAGATGTAGCAATTGTGACCAGCAAACCAACTATATTGTTTTGAAAATGAGTAATAAATGTAAGTGACAGAAAAGCCCTGCCCTACTTGTTAAGCTGCAGTGTAATACAGAGGCTTGCACTGCAAAGCTTGACAAACTGTAGAGGTTTAACGCACCTGCCAACAAAGAGAAAAAACATTAGCTACAAATGCCACAGACGTGACAAGTGCAAACAAAATCCCTACAAACCTGGCCACACGTGGCAGGTACTGGCAGCCAAATGACTCGCAGTAGGTTAGTCATTATTTGGCTAACAGGACCAACGGCAATAGCTGCGCCCAGCCACCTACATACCTCATCAGACTGTTTAACGTTGTCGTGTCGCTTTTCAAGGTCTGCGTACTTTTTCCAATATCCATAGCAATATGGATAATGCGTGAAAAACCTGTCAAATGCTTTCCTGGCAGCTGGTAAGTGGTTCTGCAAGAAATAGACAATAAAAGCAATGAATCCTTTCCTTAAAAAAACCTTCACGTTATTTTAAAAACACCTCTTGTTTTAACATTGTCTTAAAAACGACTGGTTTTATTTTGTGGTCTCCGCTGACGACGCTGGCGAGGGCAACTGTCTTAAAACGGTATCTGCGAAAGCCTGATGTACAGTTCTAGATTTGTCACTGGAATATCCATGACTTGTTTCGGTTTTCTTTGTTTGTTTCTGGAAGGCTAAGGAAAAAGGGGGCACGTACTAACCTCCTGCTCTACATACTGTAGTAGATATACCCATCCTGTGAAATCCTGGGGATTGTCCTCTACTACTTTCCAGAACTTGTCAAAATCTGGAGGGAAGCAAGCCTCAATATCTGTTGTCTGTAAACTCTCAATATTTGGAATTTCACTCTCCTGTGTGTTCTCTTCATTCAAGTCAGGGGAACTATCAGGTGATTGTTCCATCTCAGTTACACTCATAATTTCTGTACTGAAGTCCATCTGCTGTTCTTCTGTTGCTGTTTCAGCGCCATTGTCTGTGCTGTCATTGCTTACAGTCGGCTTCTCCTCCTCTGTGTTATCTGCATTCTCCATAGCTGAGGTTACTGCTGTTTCGTAGTACTAGATCCTGCGGAAATAAAAAGATCCCGTATTCGTGCAGTGAAGATTCAAGTAGAACTTGGCCGCGAATTATCAGCCAAGAGCCTCCCAAGTGCTTCAGGCATCCACATGTTTCACCACAAGCCTTCGCCAATTAGATCCGCTTCACTCCTGAGCCCAATTCACAATTAAAAAAACATGTTAATAGTAGTCATACGTTAACAGCTGCATGTACAAATCATAGTGGTTTTTCTAAAAAACTATCACAAGTGGCTATCGAGGTATCGAGGTGAACCAATACAGTTTTCCTCTGTGAGTCTGGCTGAAGTTTATTCCAAATAAAGAATTATGTTCAAATCCGTTCAATTCTCCTACTTAAGACCAATCAGTAACTTCTTTGCAAAATAAGTATGTGTTAAAACGTACCCTGGACACCTAGCTGAACTAGCTTAAGCGGTAACTTTGCAAAGAAAAGAATGACCATCAGCACTAGGCTCAGCCCGTATTAGTGTCTATACAAACTAACGGGTACCAGACGGCCACAAAAAATGTTTCTGCTAGTCCCTTACACACAGCCACCCGCTCCCACACACGACTCGCGTGTCGGGGCTCCTCCTGCCCCGCAGGACAGACTCCATCATCCTCCCACTCTTCATTCCGACCTTCCTGCCCGGCCCTACCCTCTGCCAGG